AATTTAAAATAAAAAAATAGAGCAGCTATTTACTCAACACTATTGCTAATCTCCTCAAATTTTTCACTTTTGAAAAATCTTGACATATTTTCTTGGTAAAGCTAAACTGGTTCAGAAAACACTCAGAGTCAAGTGACGTCAAATTATGTAAATGACGTAAGATTTATTCAACTTATGTATTTATTTTTTCAACCATAAAGAAAAATCATTCAATAATTAATTTGAATGAAAACTTGTTCCTGTATATGCTTTTTAACTGAATTAGTAATAAGTTCAAGAAGAATGAAGAATATTTTAATTAAAAAAATTAAATTTCAATTCAGCTATTATAACTTTATTTATGTTGCAGTATTCCATGAAGGAACATTCTTGTAATATTATTTAATGAAATTAGTGAAAATAAACAATGAAAAATCATTTTTTTATTCATAACCAATATAATTAACTTAAGTTTATGAAATAAGTTATATTGTTTTTGAATATATCGCGTTTATAATAACTTAGTTAATAAAAAAGGGATGTAGTTAAAGATGATGAAGATGCTGTGAACGTTTATTAAACAAATAGTTTTATTTTTAAGTCATTATGAATATTCATATAGCTATATGAGAACAGGGTAAGACTTATGATATACAATTTTTATATACATTTTTGAAATTGCAGGAAAAAAAAACTTAAAAAGATCTGCTGATATCAGTTACTAATAATACTTTCAAATCAGTTTGAGTTTTACACAAAAGAGCGTGAAAAAAAATTTTGAGCACATTGCGACATATTAAAATAGGGAAATGAAATACCAAATATGGTATTAGTGGCACGAGCATTTTTTGGTCTTTGAGATAACTTCCAGACACGGAGCAAATTCCAAACATTTATATATTTATACTTACGTCAATAGAATGCTTTGCAAAAATTTGCGATGATTAGAGTTTAGGAACAAAAAAGCCTCAAAATTTTGGCCCTCCTGCCCCAAAAGTGAGAGCAACAAGTTGATGAAATATTTTTTGTACTATTTTCAACTAGACTTATATCCATCGAGAAATTTTAAATTTCATAGGAAAATATTTTAGCATTCAAAAATTATGACCATATAAAGTTTAAGCCCCCTCAATTTGAGGGGATTGCAAATTTTATATTGTCATAATTTTTGAACGCTGAGAGATAATACTATGAAACTTAAAATTTATCTATGAATATAAGTTTAGTTAAAAATAGTACAAAAAATATTTCCCCAACTTGTTTCATCAACCTTTGGGGCAGGGAGGGGGAGCCAAAATTTTGTTGGTTTTTTGTTCCCAAGTTCCAATCATCGCAATTTTTTGCAAAGCATCTTTACTTGACTTAAGTATAAACATATAAATTGGAGTTTGCTCCATGTCTGAAAGTTAACTATCTCAAAGACCAAAATATGCTGGCGCCGCCCCTGGTATTAAAGACACATGATAAGGTATCAAACACACACGTGAGTCTATTCATTGCAGCATGAAACAAACGCTTTTAAGTCTTATGGTTGTTTTTTGTGATTGGGATAAATGTAAATGTCAAAAATTACTTAAACAATCTTATTTATAAAAACGGAGATAAACTTTGTGATGATGTTAGCATAGACCGGATGATTATACAAGCTTTATCTCAGTAAAGAATTAACAAAACGAAAACCCAAAAGACAAGCAAAGCCTTAATTAATGATAAAAAAAGAATGACTAGTCGAAAACCTAACCTTAGTAGAATAATTTTTTTTATATTTAGAGACATACCTAGTAAGTTTTTTATAGTTCACCTTGTCTATTATATAATTGATGATTAGGTCAAGATATATATTACTTAAGCTTTCGATTTTACTATTATTTTTAACTGCTTCAACTGATCCAACCAGCTATTTTGTTAAATATAAATTGCAGTTGTTATAAAATACTTGCGCATGCGCGTACAATATTGCGCTCTGAGCAGCTTATGGCAACGAGACACTTCGATATATATATATATAAATATATATATGTATATATATATATATGTATATATATATATATATATATATATATATATATATATATATATATATATATATATATATATATATATATATATATATATATATATATATATATATATATATATATATATATATATATATATATATATATATATATATATATATATATATATATATATATATATATATATATATAGAATTGTTGTTGTAACCATTCTTTCCACAAATTCAAGCAAATAGTTGTTCAAGATGATCTTGGGAATATTTGTAAGTTAGAACATACTTAAATGGTTTCTCATGAAGTGTTAACAGACCAGTGGATAATTTTAGAGTGCTTTTAGCATCTACAATTAAACCTAAAGCAAATGTCTTTCTTCGATGTAAAAGCAATGGAATGCCATTAATATCAGTCAACTTGCTCAGATAAGTAATTTTAGTGTTTAAAAAATCTTTCTTAAAGTGCTTACCATTTGGATTTCTGGAATTGATCATGTCAAATAATTTATCAATAACTCTTATAAAATGGATTGTACTGTTTGCTCCTAAGAAAAATGGATGCTGCGATACCATTAAAAATTCAATTGCATCAGCAACAGAGCTGCTAACGGTTTGGCCAGCTATTTTGACATTCATTTTGTGGCAATGAAATTCAATATGTTTTCTTGAAATTTTGTTTGCAAATTTAAACCTTTAAGCTTTTGTAACTCAAACAAAGCTTTAATCTCCATTCAATATATCGGCCCTCATCATCAATAAAAACATCTAAATCATTTAGAGAATTTCTAGCTAATTTAAGCATATGGCATGGGTCTAGAAAAATGTGGAGCAGTTGGTTGTTATATGAAAAAGAACTAACTATATTGTCTATGACTTTGCCAAACTTACATCCAATGGGACAACGTAATTTAAATTTGAACTAGTACCATTAAATGTAATACTTTTGATACAAAGTTCTTATGTCAAAACCTCATCTAAAATATTTTTAATAAAACATATTAAATCACTTGCTTTAACTTTATTTGATAAAACATAACCAATGGGTGTTTTCGAATGTCCTCACAAACCCCTTTGTAAAGGGATTTTTTTTTTCTTTGTAAACTTTGTAAAGGAATAGTTTGATTCAGTAAAGTTAGATTTAATGACCTGCCACAATGCCAAATTAATGCTTTGATGACTTCAGCAGCAAATATTTGTTGAAAATTTAGATTATTCTTTGCTAAAAATTAATTTATTTACTAAAATCTAATGAAAAAATATTGTTTTGTGAATAAGGTCTGTCCTTATAAAATTAAAGATTAAAGGAAAAATTTGATTATTTTTTCTTGAACAAAATAGTTAGATTTAATCTTTTTTGGTAAGGGAGGTTCCAAAATTTACGTCATGCTCTAGGGGAAAGGTGTTAGTGGTTTTATGACAAATCTTCAGACAATTGTGTAGCGGAGAGTGGGGCATCATGATACAGTTTTAATTTTTGATGCATAAAAATTATTTTAATGCGCTTTTTTTTTTTTTTTTTTTTTTTAAATAAGCAATTAGTTTATCTTGTAGATTAAATTTATATCTATAAAATTAAATTTATTAATTACCAAAATGCAACAGGTTAAACTCGTGAGACTATTTAAATAAAAATCAGAATTTTGTGTCATTAAAAAGTATATAAAAAAAAAGTATAAAAAGTATAAAAATTTTACTTAGCAAACAAATTAATAATTAATACCCAAATAATGCATCCTATGATCTTAATCGCATATCAGAAGTCTTTGTATCGAAATAAATCTCCTAATATTATATTTACATAAATCTTTTAAAAATGCAAGTATTAAATGAATTGATTTTTAGGGTTGCTTATGAATTATTGCACAAATACAATGTATTATGTTGTCCCACTTACCCTTACTTTTACTTACTGTTACCAAGAGCGCAGCATGCATAGCTAGCTCGAGTCGTAACTTTAATAACAAGACCATGCCTATAGTTAACTTAAAATTTCTAGAATTCATTCTTCGAATAATGAAACGATGCCTAGAGTGGATGTAGAGCAATTTCGAAAACGTTTTGAGAAAAGAGGTGTGAAAATTCTTTTATTCTATTATTGTTGAATTCAGTCTTTAGAGGGCACACTACGCGTCACACAACGTCACATTACGTGTCACACTACGCTACATTAGTGTCACACTAAAAACTCAATTTTTAATATTTTATTTGCAACTTTCTCTTTAATCAAAACACGAACGCAAACCTGTTTAATACAAACACAAAACACGAATTTTGTTTAAACTTATTAAACAAGATTCATTCGTTTTCAACCTGTTTCTACACTGTGCGTAGAAACAGATTGAGCGTGGTAGTTCCAGAAGGATGAGTTTGACCCTCTTGATTGTGAGCCAAGTGACCACTTATCTTGGTTTTTAAATACTTAATTAATGTAAATTATTCTTTTAGTACTGCTGTTTTTAAAGCAATTTTAAAATTTTTTGCAGTAACAGTTTTTTAAATTAGACTAAAATGCATGGCAAAGACATAATATGGGTCCAAACTTGAGTCGAATCGGAATGAATTTAAACACATATAAGATGATAGTTATTTCTTTAGAAAAAGTCTAAAGCATCAGTAACTCTATTAAAGAATTAGTAATTATTACAATTTAGGGACTGATATATTCGTGAAATCTGATGTTTTTTAAATTTAAAAATACATATGTATGTACAACATATATATATAAATATATATATATATATATATATATATATATATATATATATATATATATATATATATATATATATATATATATATATATATATATATATATATATATATATATAGGGATAAATGTTTTGTGTATACATATCGTCGTCAAATATTACAATGTCATAGGACACATTTTCTAAGCACAGATTTACACTAAACACGCTTGCGTCCTAAAGTATAAAAACTTATTAAAAATACATTAAAAATCGAATGAAAAAGGCAAAGCGAATATGCGTTATTATATGGACCATAAAAATTAACCTCAGAGCTTATTGTATTTAAAGTGAGCCGAATACAAAAAAATATATAAACACCATAATATTAAACATTTCTCATTTTTTCCAATGCCTCAATTAAGCTATTTCTTTTTTTACTCGTTTTCCTCCTTAACTTAGCAGATGATGTTATGTCTTCTCCATAAATGTCTCTTTTTGAATTCATTCGTCCAAAGAAGTCCCATAAATTTGCGTTGGGAACAGGATAAAGTTGTTGTAAGTTTGGCGATTGAGACCAGCCTAAAGATCTCCCAACCATATTTACTGGGAACTGATTATTACCAGGCTGATAGGCCTGAATGTTTGAAAGTTGTGTTACAGAATTTAAAGGGTGTTCAAGTTGCTGCTGAACTTTGCTCAATTGCGCTAAAGTCTGAGAGCTAAGCAAATTTGACAGAGCATTGGCATTGTTGTTGTTGTTATAGTTATTAGTATTAGTATTAAAGTTTGCATCATTTGCGTATGCTGATATACTAGAACCAGAATACGGGTTAAAGTTATTATTATTTAAATTGAAGTTAAAGTCATTACTAATGCTATTTTGAAGAGACTCTATAGGGTTCTGATTACTCGATAAACTGGGAAATTGTTGTTGCTGTTGAATCGGTAAATTTAAACTATTTGGAAACATTTGAGAAAACGGCTCATTCGGAGGAAGAATAGTTTGAGATGGCAATGCTTGTTCTCCAAAAGTATAAGTTATTTGCGTAATTTGAACGGAACTTTTTCCGTTATTCTTAACATCGTCAGGAATTGCTTTTCTATGAATTGGTATTTCAGGGTGAGTAATGTTTTGATGGTGGGGTTTCTCTTTTGTTCCGTGTAAAACTAATTGCCAATCACGGAGCATTCCAGTATTAGTTCGAGATTCACCGCCATCTTTAATTTCTAAAGTCCAAATACCTCGAGGATCTTCGCCCCAAGCATGTGTAGTCATAAAAGCCCATCTTTTGAACCCTTCATCAGAAGAATCTTCACTTCGAACCGGCAAAAGAACTGAACGCGTACCCATGGGAGTTGTTACGAAAATGGTAAGATCCCCACGACGAGTATATTCTATTGATAAAACTAATTGCACGTGTTCTAGGTAACGAATTTCCTCCTTTAAATGTTGACAACCGTCAGATTCTATCTCTAACACTAAAGGTTGATCCCAACGCAATGATCTAAAGTTTTTGCAAATAACAGGAAGTTAAACCTTACACAAAATATATCACATCTTTTATATTTTCATTAAGTGTTACAAAATCATAATGCAACACGGTTATTACGTATTTAATAATTTATTATAATTATATATAACTATATGTATTTAAAACATAAGGTAAATTCTAAACTATTTTTTAAAAATTCAATTAACTTTTCAAAACTAAAAATTAATTTAAAAAACAACCTAGCATCAGTAAAAGTTTTTCCTTTGCATTCTTTTTTAGTAGGAACAGTTTTAAATGTTTCTGGATTTGCCATTTGAACAATACGATCAGCATCTAATAATCCAAAACCAAACTTTTCATTTACATGCAAGCCTATTCCATTCATTCTCCATTCAGGATCGCGCTTCAGTGGAATCCAGTTAGCTGTGTGCACCACAATATGTTGTACATCCCGCCAAGTTAATTTAGGACTGAAATATAAAGGTAAAGGCACAAAATTATAGGAGAATTTGTGAACTAAATGTACTAATCATTCACAACTAGTATCTCACTTCTGTTCTAAAGCTAATGCAATTATTCCACCAGCCAACGGAGCGGATGCAGATGTACCCGTGTGTCTTTCTGTACATTGATTATGAAGATCAGTTGTTACCTATATAATTGATGTTTAAACATGAAAAGAAATAAAAAAAAAAATATATATATATATATATATATATATATATATATATATATATATATATATATATATATATATATATATATATATATATATTAGTTTTACTAATTTATATTTTATATACATATAATATATATATAATATATAAATTAGTAAAACTAATATATATATATATATATATATATATATATATATATATATATATATATATATACAAACTATGTTAGTGTATTCTACTAATAGAGTGCTAAATATTCTTAAAGAACAGAGCATTAACAAATTAGTAAAAACACTTGACCAATTTTTTCTTCAACAATTTGTTTCTCCATCAGTAAGTTCCTGATGAACTTACTGATGGAGAAACAAATTGTTGAAGAAAAAATTCTCCGTCAGTAGGGAGAAACAAGTTGTTGAAGAAAAAATTAGATAAGCAATTGATAACAGGCAGGCACAAAAAAGAAAAAAAGATCATGATCTTGGTTTCTAAAACATTTGAAACAAAAATAGAAGATTCAGAACTTAGGGAGATTTTTCTAAGGGGTTGCTTCATTTATGAAAAGACAATAGTTGTGTGATACATTAGTTTACTACTTACAATTCTTTTCTCCCCATGAGCACCACTGCTTAGTGTTGTTGCTAAAGTTGAAGCACACGCCTCGCTGTACCAAGGACTTTCTCCATGATCAGAACTTGAGCTGATAGACAATGTATAAATACTTGCAGTGTATCCATCACAGTTACAACTATCATCATGCCTTCCTCCATTACCTGAAGCCCAAATGTAGATAGAACCTAATCCGCCTCGACCCTAAAGATAATAAAGCAGCATAAAAAATGTACTACTGACAATAAGATTCTATTACATAATAAAACTTTATAATTGAATCTTATTATCAATTTTATTTTATAATAAAATAACTTTTTATTTTTTTATTTACAAAAAATTAAAAAAAAAAGTTTATGCATATAAAAAAACCTACTAAAAATTTATTTAAAAATCAATATAAATATTATAAGTATTTAAAAATATATTATAAGTATATATTATAAATATTTAAAAATAAATATTTAAAAATATTTTAAAAATTTTACATAACTAATCAGTTTTTATATTTACACACATTCTTTATATATCATACTTGGTAATTTTAGGAAAAAATTAAGAAAAAATTATATATATACTTGAATCATCTTTTTCAAAAATGTTCTTACTAGAAATTTTGATGTTTTATTCAAAATAAAATAATATCAACTTTATCTTAGAAAAGAAAAGCTGCTTTAGGGTAAAACAAGTATTATATTTAACATTACTTTTACTAATATTTTATAATTATCAGCCTTTTTGATTTTAACATTTGGAAGATACATGTTACACATCACCAGCTGCAGTTTAAACTCTTAGATTTACATTTTAACTCTAAAACTTTCACTATATTCCATATTCAAACTTGCTAATAACTCAATGTTACATTTTTGACCAATTTAATAAATTTTAGTTTACAAAAGATAATTTTTATTAATTTTAAAACAAGATAAATTTTAGTTTACAAAATCATTTTATAAACATTTAATGAACACGAAATTCATTTTATTTCTATTTACATTTATACAATATTTTATTATTTTTAGATATATACAAAAATCATTATTTTATTAAAATGTTATTAAAAATTCATTTACTTCATAACTTTTGTCTATATATCTTATATATATATATATTTAACAACTTTATTAACTGTAAAAAAATATATTGAATTCTTGAAATTACCTTTGTTATTCCATTAAGAAACGCAGCTGATGCAAGTGTTCCTGGTCCCTCTACAGTCATACCATCATCACTTGGCCCCCAGCTGGCACTATAAATATCTATATATTGCGGATTTAAACTTAAAGATTCAGCCTCTACACGATCTGTTACTCGTCCATCTAGCATTCTAACTCCCCCAATGCGTGCATTATAAGCTACTCCAACACCGCATTTTGAATTATTTGCTTGGGCAGCTACCTCTCCAGCACAACGGGTACCATGTCTAATAAATAATTGTATTGTAATTTAAGTGCTATGAAAAGTCTGGAAAAGCAATCCATTAATGGTAATTATTATATTGCTTTTCCAAAATTAATTAATTTTAAATTTAAATTTAGAAAATGATTTTATTTCAGGCAATACTTTCAATCAATTTTTCAGAATAATTGTCATCAATAAAGGACCATTTAGGTTTTTATTTTAAAAAAGGGTTGCTGAATTGTTAAACAATGGGCCCACAATATAGGTCCTCAGATATAATTGAAAATTATTTCTTTGATAAGATAAAGACCAATATTTTGCAAGATAAAATTAGATACAAAAATTTAAGACAACTCATCAAGATACCAGAATCCATATATGTCTTTAACAAACAGTGTTTATATTCGATGTTCAATGATTTGTTATCACTTCTCATAATACTTATCCATTTTATGATAACTAAATTGATATATCTAACGAATTATTATAAAATATTTTAACATTACTTATTTTCATTGGTAGGATCATATCTTGGGAAAGGATCAGGATCATTGTCGTTTACATCCCAACTGGCTGCAGGATCCTAACAAAAAAATATTTAGCTTAGTGTTTACTTTTACTACATTAATTTTTTAAGGATTTAGATATTTACAATTTAAATATTTTAAAATATAGATATTTTTCAATACTAACATAATTCCTTTCTAAATCTGTATGATTATGCTCAATGCCATCATCCAAAATTGTTACAACAACACCTTTCCCTGATATACCAGACTTCCAGACAGGAATGACATTAACATCAAGATCCATTTGCGATCGCTTATCATCCTATATAAAATTAATAATGTAAACAAGAATGCATCAATAGAACAACATTTGTATGTATGTATATATATATATATATATATATATATATATATATATATATACATATATATATATACATATATATATATATATATATATATATATATATATATTATATATATATATATATATATATATATATATATATATATATATATATATATATATATATATATATATATATATATATATATATATATATATATATATATATATATATATATATATATATACAGGGTGTAAACTAGCCCTGTTGCGCCCCGTCAAACATGGTTTTCCCAAACGCTCAAAAATTAAAATTCCCAACTTAAAGATGAAAAAATCCTATTCTCCAAAAAAAGTTTTCAAAATTAAAGTTTAATATTAATTCTAAAAATAATTTAAAATTAACTATTATTCAAAACTAATAGAAAAATAACAAAAAAATTCTAATTCATTAATTGTGTAAAACATGAAATCAAATCCCTTATATTGGTATAAAAACGCAATTGCATAACTGCGAAAATTGGTTTCTTGGAAAAAACATCATGAGAATTGGGATTTTTGGAGCAATTTTTGAGGCAACTTGCAATAAAATTTGAAAATAGCTTTTTGCAATGCATTCCAACAACAAATATTATATAAAAAAGTTAGAAAGAAATAAAGTATTAATCTAAAAGATCCAAAATAATAACAAACTTGTTTGGTTTGACACCCGCAAATCCTATTTCTTTAAAAGTTTTGCCCTTTTTGGCTAGAAAGTTTAATAACTTATTAAGTCTTACCGAAAACTTAACTTTAAGTAGTACATGTAATTTGTCAACAAAAACATTGAGAAGGTTATGTCAGATACCTTTTGATTAATTACGGGTATTACGGAAAATCTTTTAGTTGTTTTTTTTTTTTTTGTTTAGTATTTTATATCAACTGAATTTGCTAAAGTTTTTTACTTTTTACTGTATTCTTCGATGCCACGCGTGCAATCGTTTGCTAATACTATTACTCTATAATTAAACAACATTTGTTGTTGTATTTGCTGAGACTTTATGATTATAACTTTATTTCACTATGAATAAAAAAATGTGAAATATGAAATTTATGAGCTCGTGTTTACTATTTTTAAAACCTTATCTATTTTCAAAAAATTCCTTTTGATGACTCAATTTATTACATAATGATGTAAGGGTTCGTTAGTAAGGTACATCGAGCAGAATTTAAATAATAAATAGAAGTAGAAGATCATTGGCTCATTGGAGATTGCTATTTTACTATATTACATTGAAAAGAAATATATATTTAAAATAATACTCTTGAAATGAAAGCAGCGACAATATATAAAGATTTTATAAATATTTAAAGATTAAAAATAAATCAAAATAATTATTCTCAACAATAATTAATATACACTGATTAGTTTATAATAAAAAAAAAGATATTTTTCCTAATATATGTTCGGAAATCGGTTCTTAGTTTGCCGTGTCATAAAACAACAGCTAATTTTGAGTTGATTTCATATTCATCTTTAATGATACAGATCGTATTTTATTATATTTTTGGCGCTGATCAATCAATGTATGCAGTGCTGAAGTAGAGTAGAAAAAAAAAGAACACCAAAAAAAGACCCCATGCTTTCCCAGAACATATTTTAATCTCAGGGGAGGAGGGGGTGATTGAGAAATACTTCGACAAATTCCCAATTCCGTTAAAACGCTGTATCAAATTTATTCCTGGTTAACACCCTGATATATATATATATATATATATATATATATATATATATATATATGTATATATATATATATATATATATATATATATATATATATATATATATAAACAAATTTTTTAAATTAAATATTTTTAATAAAATATTAGACTAGATTAGATAAAATATAAGACTAGATTAGGGTTATATGAGCATAATTAAAAGATTTCTAAGATGTAAGAAGTGAAGTTAAAAATGCTTTGAATTTTTTGAATCAAATTTACATGGTGATAAGAGAAATCAGTATAATTAGCATAGCAGTAATTAGCAACTTTCATCTAATTAAAATGCTATTAAATTTTTTGCATTTTTTAAATACTATCATCATGCATGAATAAATCTGTGGCGCAAAATTTTAATGCTAAAATAATGAAACTTAATTTTAAAATCCGTTTTATTTTTGTTTGAAAATCAGTGAATAGAAACATTTAGTTTTGACTTAATTTAAAAATACCATTTTTGTGTAATATTGAGCATGCTCAAATTACCCAATAATTTTAATTGAAATTACCTTGTTTAAAATCATAAAATTGCAGTGGTTTTAATTTTTTTTGAATAAAAACAAAACATAAAATATTTTTTATTATTTTTACAATACTAAATACCTTTCTGTAATTCAAATTCAAAAAATTTGTCATTTCATCGTTTGAAGGTTCGAGTTAATAAATTTGAAAAAATAACAAACTAATTTTTTTCAATTTTTTTTTTTGCATAAAACAAAGTAGTTTCAATAAAAAGTGGCATAAAATTTAATCTTTTAATAAGTTTTTTTACTAACGAATCAATTATTCAATTCAATAAAATAGTTCAAACTGTCAGGATGATACTTTTTTATGTAAATAATGTTATTTTTTGAGCTAATTTAAAGTGCTCATGTTTTACTACTTTTTTAAAACCTGTGTTTTTAAAAAACAATATCAGGTGCCCAAATATCTATGTGGATCATAAGTAGTGATCCCTATGAATTGTTTAATTGCAAAAATTTTGGATCCATAATTATTTTTGAGAATATTTTAATTTTTGCTTAAGGTATTCATAATACCCTAATATGCCCTATATAAATTTATTTATAACTATATTATGTATTACTAATATATTACTTTTATTTTTGTTGACTAATACCCAACTTTTTCTCATTCTTTAACTAAGAGCAATATGGCATGTTTTTAGAGATTCCATAAAATTACTTTAAGGTGTCAAATTCTCTGTATTCGTAGCTGTATTGCTCAAATAATAATAAATAAACTTTAAACGTACGGAGATTCAAACATTTATATATGTTTGAATAGTGGGAGACTAGTGTATCTATGACCCTATGCTTTAAATAATATGAATAAAAATGTTTTTAGAACAACCCCGCCATAGCTCTCTAATACAAACTTACATTTAAATATAATATCTAACAATATATAACTTTAAATAATAAATTCTTAAAAGATTTTTAAGCTTAAAAGTAACTAGAAATCAACTATAAAACAAAGAAACATAAAAGGAAAATACAATAGAAAAGATAGTGTTGAATTGATAGTTTACAATTTGTTGATGTTTACAATAATTTTTTTCAATCAGAGTTTTAATTTTTACAATTAGTTAACTGCAAAATATTTTTCTTTACACATCTAAAAAATAAAGTTTTTATAAATATTTTCAAATTATTTATTAATACATTTAACTAGCCCCCCCCCTCCCCACAAGTCCCTTGTCTATGGTCATGCAATATATCCAAATATTACCTATACTATCAAATTATTATCTTATATTTAAAGATAATGTTGGCTACTTATTGTCTTAAAACAAATTCAGATCATAAATTTTGTTAAGAGCCTGAATTTCAGTTTCCATTAGAAAAAAAAAGCACAAAGATTGTTGAAAATTAGTGTGAGCTAAACAAAGTTATAGAACTGTTTGAATTAAAGCATGCAATATGGAACTGTGTTTTAATTTTAAAATTGGATTAATCCCCAAGATTGTAAAATATATATTTATATTCATCTTTAGAAACAATAAAAGAATTATAAAATAAAATATTTATATTCATCTTTAGAAACAATAAAAGAATTATATTTAAGTATATTTTCTATTCTGATTTCAGAAATGTTTTTTAAAGTTTTTTGGGATAGATTTAAGTTTTGACAAAATACCATTACCAGATGATCATTATTAATGTCTAGATCAGTGGTTCCCAACCAGTGGTCCATGGACCCCTGGGGGTCCATGACAACTTTTTAGGCAGACCACAAGGTAAAAGTAAATTCTAAATATTTTTTTGGTTAATGATTTTTAATTCATTAACCAAAAAAAAACTTTAATAAGTTAAATCTTAAATTAAAAACTATGATACACAAAATCTGTGTTCACAGATTCAATTTTAACTGTTGAGGACTTGCAAAGCACTACAAAGTAATAAATGAATTTATTACTTTGTAATGGTCCACATTAAATTATGCCATATAATATCAAAATTTTTTCATCTTTTCTCGGGCTTGGCAAAAACCGGAAAATTTCAAAAAACCGGTTTTTGTTTTTTTTTAAATTGTAAAACTGGATAACCGGTTTAACATTATAAAAGCAAATTTTTATTTATTGTTGTATAAATTAATAGTTACCTACAGGAATGATATACTGGAATTAGATCTATAAACTAAAAGAGAGTTTTTCACACAATTTCATACTTATTAATTTAGTTCGCATTTAATGAACTTGGATCATTTTTTCTTTTACATCTCTTTTTTCTTTTCTAATCCTTTTTTTTTTTTGCATCAAATAAATAACCTTTTTTTTAAAATACTATTTATATCATTTTAGTTCACAATGATAGTCGTGATACATAATAACATAAAAATCGTTTTAAAAAATAAACAATTCAGTGTTTTAACAATATAAAGCTAGGTTTCAAAAAGAAGATCATAAGGATTTTATCATCAGAACCTTAAAAGTTGAAAATATTTATTTTTAATAGATATATTGAAGATTTAACATAATGCAAGATACAAACATTTTAATACATAATATGCTAAAGATTCAACAAATACATTTTACATATGTTTTTAGTAGAATTTTAGAATGCAGTACATAAAAAAAATATTTTTAAATTTAGTTTTAAAAACAGGAAGAGTAAAAGAAGGATCAAAATTTGGCAATACTATTTATTTTACAGATGGGGTGCAAGATTTTGAGATTTAAAAATCTTAAATTAAAATACTTAAACAACAATAACAAAAAGGTAAAAACAAACAAAATGAAACAACAAACAAAAATATCAAAAAGTTGACAAAATAATTTAAGTTAAACTTGACTTTCCTGGATTCCTTTGATTTTTTAAAGTACTTTAAAATTTAAATATTGTTGAAAGATTCTGTCAGTATGTAATCTGTTAATAATTGGTAAAAAAAATTGAAATTAATAAAACTAAATGCAATATCAAAGTACTTTTTTTAAAATTATATATATTTTCACAAAATTTGTGCTTTCCATGCTACTTGTCACCTTGTTACCATGCTACTTGTTACCATGCTACTTATTAGCTTTTCAAAACAAGAAATCTTTAAACTATTTATCTATTTAGTAATGTATAATAATAACTGTTTTTTAGGAAAAAAAACTGGTTTTTAGTTTCAAAAAAACAGAACAAAAAACCAGTTAACCGGTTGCAGTTTCCAAGCCCTAATCTTTTCTTATAGTAAAAATATTTTTATTGACTTGTTTGAAAAAAAGTAATTTGTGTTATTTTCTATGAAAATTCGATAATATACTACTCTTATCTTAATTTAATATTTACATTATAGATGCATTTTATATTATTTTTAAAATACTTTAGATGTTTGAAAATAAAAAGAGATCATATTCAGATGAATATATGAGATATGTTTTTACCTACATGCTTAAAGAAACCATCAGCTACCCACAGTGTGTTATTTGTTATAAAGTACTAGGAAATGACTCTTTGAAACCCTCAAAGCTTGCCATTCACTTGAGTAAATGTCATCGTGATCTTTAAACTAAAGATATTGATTTTTTCCAAAGAAAATTTGTATCATTAAAGAGATGTAAGTTGGATAAAACTGGGATTCACCGAGATCAACAGAATATTGTGAAAGCATCTTATAAGGTTTCATATAAAATAGCGTAGAATAAAAAAGCACACAAATTGACTGAAGAAGTTATACTTCTGTGTACAAAAGAAATTGTTTGATTTCTATTCTACACATTGTCAATTGATAGGGAAAAGAAGCTGAAAAGAAAGAAAGAAAATATACTTTTATTACATATTAGAGTCAAACGAAGGCTAACTGAGATTTCATCAAATATTAAAGAAATTGTTATTAATGAAATTAGAGAATCACCATATTTTTCTATTCAGTTGGATGAGTCCACAGATGTAATTTCAATGACACAATTAATTGTATTTTGTAGGTATATTCACGATAACAAATTCAAGGAAGAACTTTTATTCTCTTCTTTTCTTAAAACAACAACAAAAGCAGCTGATAGTATGGAATTTTTAAAACAGTTTTTCAATGACAATCGATTACAATGGAAATATTTGTTTGGAATTACTACTGATGGGTTGTAAGCCTGGATTGCAGATTAGAGTAAAAGAGATTGCTCCAAATGTAGTAGATGTACACTGCTTTATTCATAGACAGGCTTTGGCGACAAAAGCTTTACCAGGTAGTTTGAAAGCTGTATTCAATCAATTAGTCAAATTGGTGAATCATATAAAATTTTCTGCTCTCAACGCTTGACTTTTTACAAAATTTTGCTCTTACCTAGATGCTGAACACAATAAGTTATTATTTCATACTTCAGTGTGATCTGCTGGAAGTTTTTTGAAAAGATTTTTTAAGCTTACAAATGAAGTGAAAGAATTTTTACGCCAAATGAAAAGTGAAAATTGTAAAATATTTTGAATTTGACAATTTTGAAATAACAACTGCTTACCTTGTGGACATTGTGGGTCATTTTAACAAGTTAAATTTGCAACTTTAAGACAAAAATGCTGATGTCATTACACACTCTGATAAACTGAAAGCATTTATTGAAAAGCTCAAACTGTATAAGACTAGAATTAATAATGGAAATTTGATCAAAATTTAAATAGCGTAATTGAATATTTAAAACAAGAAGAATTTATAGAGTTAAAGAATGATACCACAGCTAAGGATCACTTCAAAACAACACCATTAAACATGTTCTGGTTGAAAATAAGGAATTCATATCCATTGTGTTCTTCAATTGCACTCAAAGCCCTTATTCCTTTTTCCACATCATGTTTGTGTAAAGCCGGGTTTTAAGCCATGCTATTTCTTAAAACTAAAAAAAGAAATAGACTCGATATCGATGCAGATATTAGATGTGCTCTATCAAAAACTAATCAAATTTTTAAAAACCTGTTTTTGTATTATATATCAGCTAAGATAAAATAATTGTACTTCATTGATAGTTTAGCCTATTCTAAAACACCTTAAATAAAATATTATCCTGATGAATAATAATAACATAACTGAAAATTTTTGCCTTATGATAATTTTGAAAAGAAATGGGGTAAATGAAGATTTTATGAATTATTATTTAGGGAATGGGTTAGAAAAGGTTGGAAATCACTGGTCTAGATTGTGCTGCCTAAACCCAAAACCCTTAAAGCACAGCTTTAACCTCGTTGAAAAATAAAAAAAGATTTTAATAATGAAGTATGTGTGCTGCAATAATATCAACAAGGAATATTGTTGCTTACAAGTATAAAACAAAGATTTGTAACCAAGGATTCAAGTTTTTTTAAATACATTATTTGTTATTCATTATTACTTAAAACTATATTATGTTTCAGAGCATAACTAAGACATTAGTCAATTAATTTTTGGAGACCTTCGCCTGAGGGTTTACACATGACATTATCATCAGAATATGTATGATGGTTAGTAACAGAGGGACCCAAAAGTCCTCTATGGAAGTTATATTAAATAAAATACAATACTTGTTAATGTAGATATTAAATAACAGTAAAAACAATACATGTACTAGATGCAGTCAATTATTAATAATAAATGCTTTGGATAAATATTGGCCCAAAAGACTTGAGCATTTTTACCAGCATACTAGACAATAAGTGAACATAAAGATATAACAAAGATAAAATTTCTAAATAAGAACAAGTATAAATATGCAATTATTTTTCTTAAATCTGTCTTGATTGAAAAAGTTTCTTAAGAAAACTTTGATTAACATTTGAAAAAAAAATTCCAAAATCATGGAAAATCATGGAAAAAATGTATTAATAGCAATAAGAAAACAATTTGCAGAACTATTTATGTAACAAGCATCTAATGTCAAAAGATGGAGGAAAAACACAATTTTAAAACAATGATGAACTAATGCTGGCAAAACTAGTGCTGGCATAAAGATAATGCTCCCAATGAAGTCCAAAATGGTCAGCTATTTCACCAAAGACTACACAACTTATCATAGATAATAGATCTGGTAAGAATAACTTATGTCAACCTTCTTTTGGTGACATGTAATCTAATACATGTCACCAATACCTGGTATATTTTAAGACCATGAGTAGTTGTAAACCTCTTACAAAATTTATCAGACCAACTTTCATTTTGTGAGATTAGTTTTAAGTTAGTTATTTAATCATTCGATCTGATTTTTGATGGCTATTACGCTTTGATTCACCAAGAATAAATAAGTTACATCATTGGTACACATACTTATGTATCAATCCAGTTATTTGTTGTGAAATCAGCTTTGACTTCACTGAATATTTTTTTATGTGCTTTTGTTTAACACATCATCTCTCAATCATCTCTCCATCAATCTTTGTTCTTTATTGTTCTCTTACTTCCAAAGATTGTAACCTTTTTGATATTACTTCTGAACAAATGGAACAAGTCCTTTCTTTTTATCCAACATCCAATTTTGTTGTTACTGGTGAGTTTGGTGCTTATCACATTATATGGTTTGGCACTAGTCAATTCATAGTTTTTGTATTTCCAATCTTTTACTAAGATAGTTGAATTTGAGACTTTTTTCTAGACAACCATAATCACTTATCTTTACTCAATAATTAGTACCTAGTAATGGTACTAATTATTGAGTAAAGACAAATAATATTTTGTTATTCTTCAACATTAGATCATCAAGAGATGGTAAGATAAATCTAATAATAGGGTGAAACTTAATCTTGGACAATCAATAAGGATTTTGATTTTCTTGATCTACCAGGCTATTGCTTTTGACATAAAAAAAGGCTAAAACCTAATATGCATATATAAGCAAATATGCATATATTTAAACCTGTTGTGGCATCGTGGTTAGAGTTTATGATCAAAACTAAGTGGTTGAGGTTTGATCCCAGCTCTGGCCGAATGCACTTCAATGGTGCTCTATGATAAGAATGTATGGAATTCTTGGAGCACCTTGAACACCACAAAAATATATATCCAATTCAGAAAGAGTGCTCAATATTTTTAAAGAACAAAGCAATAAAGTAGTAAAAAATTTAACTTTTCCTTAAATTTCACATTGATCTCTTCAATATATACATAAAAATAATTTATTATACAAAAATATAGCTAAGCTTACCAGATACCATTGCTCCTCCCATAATGGATCAGCAAATCTGGGTTCGATACCTCTAGTTACAACATGTTGATGATGTAAGCCACGCCTTTCTCGTTTATATTCATGTTGCTGTTCAGCCCAAAAAATCTAATAACAAAATTTTGTTTATAAAAAAAATATTCTTCCTATATTTGCTAAGATTACTATATTACTAAGATAACTTACATACATGTTAATTTACACAAACACATGTTAATTTAAGTTAAAATTTAACATAAACATGATATTTAAAAATACAATTTATTTTTTATTCACAGACTGTACTTTGTCATTTTACATCATACCGCCTTAAAGACTTTTACTCTACTAGTGGGGAGAAATATACTGCACCAATTGTACTATTGTATTGTAAAATGGCAAGATATGCTACATAAACTACATGATATGATCATCCATTTTCAGTCTTTAAATTTTTTTTTGTTATTATTGATAAGTTATAAAATTAATAACTTATCATTGATAATTTATTGTTATAATTAATAATATTAATGATAAAAATAAGTTATCAATGATAAGCAAATTATCAATGATAACAAAATAATACTTTTTTTTTTAAACAGTTTCATTACTAACAACTTTTTTTAGTTGTTAAGTTATGAAGGTACTCTAAGATTCTTAGACATAGAAGACCTAACGGTTTTATCACAGAGCTATACCAATGCAAACTATTGGTAAACCGAATACTTTTTATTTTAGGTAAATCAAAAACTTTTAAAAAAGTATAAAATTTAATTAATATTAAATCGTTGACAAACCAAACTTGTTTGAAATAGACCTATTGTAGAGCGGGAGAAACCTTGATATATTGTAATATATTTATTGTTTTACGTTTTTCTCTATAAAAAAGAAGAAACTGTGACTGCTTGGCTTTGTCTCACTTTTTTGATTATTTTTCTATTTTTACTTATTTTAAAAAAAAATAAACAAAAATAACATTTGTTTTACTTTTTAGAGGATTTATAGTTTAGTTTTTTTTATCCCGCGCACCGCGATCGGGGAAAGTAACAAATTAGTACAAACTGTTAAATTTAAAAGTTCAAGCGATTTGGAATCAGTAAATTTGTTTATAAAACAAAGTAGTGATTTAAAAAGTGAGTTTTAAAGACATTTCCAGACAGAAATCGAGACTTTTTAAAACGGATATGCTTGTCGCAAAAAACATTAAGCTAAAATTTCCAATTAAACTTCATTTGCTCGAATGTTTAAACTGTTTTGATTGGTTGAGTGATCTAAAAATTTAAAAATTCATAACATAGCGTCGACGATCAAAAAATCAAACGCTGAAAAATTTCTGTTTAACCTATCGAACTAGCTATGTTCAGCATTTTATGCGGGGAAATCCCGCATAATTTTTTTAGATTTTGAACAAATTTCATAAAAATATTTTAATTTAGATACAAATAATTTTGTCTTTAAATACATAAAAAGTTGTGAAAAAAATAAAAACTTTGCCTTAACAAAACTTTTTATTATAAAGATCAGTTTCCACCCATTCTTTTTTTCTAAGGTAACGGAAAAAAGAAAGGAAAAACGATCTTTTAGCTTCGGACAAATTATACTACGCATCCTAACCCCTTCTCAATCTCATTCCTGCAGTAAAAAAATGAGAGGAAAACTATTGACCTTTGAGTCAATACTTTTCGTCATTAAACTTTGGTGACGTAAAATTTGGTTCTAGATTTGTTATTAAAAGATACTTAGTTCTTTAAATAGTCCTTATAAAATTTTAGTTAAGTAGCACTTATAAAATTAGTACTTATAAAATTTTAGTTAAAACTTATTTTTAGCTTAATACTTATAAAATGTTAGTTAAGTATTACTCATAAAACTTTTTGAATAGTATTTTTAAAAATCGATTTTTTCGTAATAATATAAGTAATATAAGTTAGAAATATTTCGTATAAAAAGTATATATAAGTAATATTTCGTAATAATATAACTACGAAAATACTGATTTTAAGCACTTTCAATAATCTGTAACAACCTAACACTTAACAAAATTTAAAGTTTCACACTTAACTAGATGTTCGATATATAGTGTGAAATTATTTTTTTCAGGAGCATAATCTCTACGCTGTAAAGTGGGTCAAAACATACTTGCAAAGATGCCAAAATTATAAGGAATTTTTACACGGGCACAATATACATCAAAGAAAGAGCTTTTTGGTGGCAGGGAAATGATTTGGAATACTTTAATCACGTTGTTACACGGGTATAATATTTTCAGGCATTGTGCTAACTCTAAACTTAAGTAAGTTTATGGTTATTTCAAACGAGAATGTTTTAGAAAAAAACGCCGCGTTGATTTGTTTTTAATTTTTTATTTTTCTAATAATCTATTAAGGTTCGAAAGTTGATGAACCATGTAAAATTTATAACTTCTATATTTTGGAAAGGGTGGAAACTTTATATAGACATAACTTTTGAACACAAAAAGATTATAAAATGAAATTTAAAATCTGTTAATGTTAAGTTTAGAATAACATGCTAAAGTGTATACATACTTAAGAGTGGAATTTCATATTTAAAACATTAAAAAATGCCTATAACTTTAAAAACAAATCTTTTTTTTTTCTCATATTGTATTTATGACAAGAATTTGTATGAAATTGTTCAAACCTTAAACCAAAATTTTACACAGAATTAAAAATAGTTTTTATATTGATTATTTAAAGTTTTACTTTGGTTGTTATTGTTCTTTAAAATAAGATTTGAACATTTCAGATATTTTTCTCAAGTAAAATTAGACAGAATACTTTGTACACTGCCTCTGCTAGTGTAGCAGCTTGTTGTTTAAGTTACATATTTTTTGTTTAAAAATTTATTAAGGATGTAAAATCCAAAGGAGTTTGTAAGCAACAATAGTTATGTTCCATTGCTATAACATGACATACATTATTGTATTGTATATATTTTATTTAAGATTTACTTTTATCCTACATGTGTAATATGTAATATTATTACTTTTAAAAATTACTATATCATATCAGTGACGGATCCAGGTGGTGGTGGGAATGGCATCTCCCCCTCCCCCCTCACCAAAATCTGAAAATCCTAGAATAAATTAGAAATGGAGGAACCTTTTTTTTTTAAGCAGAGACAATGGTGATGCAAAATACAAAAATATTTTAATATCTAAAAATGAACTCGTATTGCACTATAAATAACTATGACATCCATGTACTTAACTTATGTAATATTTTTTAAAAGTCAACCAAAATTACATTATTAATAATTAGTATTGTTAAATAAGCATGTAAATGACATAACTATACTTGGTCCATTGAAAATTTCTAAAATGCCACTTTTTTATATTAAAAGGTTTTTCGCCATCCAGATTGTTATATTTTTTGATGTTTCCTTTTAATCATTTAAAATTATAATCAAATCTATAACTCAATAAATCTATAACCGAAATCAAATAGACCGTGTCAATAAACTAAATTTAAATTAAAAAATTTATTATAATATTTTTTCGATAATGTTTTGTTTAATTTATATAAGCATAAACCATATCACTGAGTTTTATAAGCATTAAAAACATTATTGATTGTCAAGGTTTTTTATAGTTGCCAGCTAATTGTCAAGATTTTTTCACAGTTCCTAGTTGATTGTCAAGGTTTGTTATAGTTAACGGTTGATTGTCATAGTTTTTTTATAATTGCCGGTTAATATTCAAGGTTTTTAGTTCACAAAACCTAAATACTGTAAGTCCTTTGCAGATCTAAATAGCATACTATTGTTATATTCTCTAGTGTATTTTAAAAATATATTCAGTCCTAAACAAAATTACAAAAGAAGTGGTAACTAATTCACCTAATGCTCTATTTCAATTGGATGTTAAGACTCAAGCAAGCAAGAAAGCTAGTTAAAAAAAACCAATTGAAAAATGGAAAATTCAATTTTCCATTTTTCAAAATGGAAATGGTTCAAGGTTAATAAAATTGTAAATATTTGTGCAAACCTGGAGAACTCTGGTGTCATGAACCATTTGGCTAATTTGTTAAACTAAAACTTACTTTTAATCTGAGCGTAAGTTAATTTTTAATTACAGTATTTTGTTTGACATAATACAGTTTATAGTAATAATACAGTTTTTTTTTTTTTTTTCCATAAACCCTATTTAAACGCATGTCTCAGTTGTTATTTAAAAATTACTTTTGTATTAATCTAAAATGGGTTACAAGTAAGGTCGGCGTGAATGGAGGGGGGGGGGGGGAGAAGTTATGACACCCCCATCAATGAATTTTTTTTGTTAATTTAGTCGGCAAATTTGACAAGTTAGTTGGCAAATTTCGCCAGTCAGTCGGCAAATGTTGGCTAGTAATTTTTTATTTTTTATTTTTAGTCGGCAAAAATTGTTATGGCACCCCTCCCCCCTCCTTCCACGTGGCATCTACTTGCGCCAGCCCTGGCCCTAAGCTACCCAGAAAAAAATTTCTATAGAATTTTTATAAACTTTTGAAACATATGGCCTATAGAAATTCTATAGAATTTCTATAGAATATCTATAGAATGTTTATTAATTTCTATAGAAATTGCTATAAACTTTTTTTTTACTTTTTTTTTCTATAGAAAAAAAAGTAAAAAAAAAGTTCTACAAGAATTTCTATAAAAATTAACAGAAATTTTATGGAAATTTTATAGAATTCTATAGTATTTCTATAGGCCATATGTTTAAAAAGTTTATAGAAATTCTATAGAACTTTTTTTCTTGGGTAACATTTTTGATATTATAATGGGAGAATGAACGTTGTAAAATTCAACTTTCTTAAAATTATAGAACCAAACTAGAAACTTTTTTTATAAATTTCATTATTGAAATATAATTTTGCACAAAACATGCTAGATGCTTTTTATGAAAATATTATATGCTTTGCATATTCTATACTTGCATAATTTGTTATAAAGAATCAATGACTACTCTTCCTTATAATTGAAGCCAATCAAAAATGTAATTAAAATGTTAACTAATGTTAATTAAAAAAATTGTGAAACTTAATAATAAAAGATTTTAGTTTTTTAAGCGAGTTACAAACTTTATATATATTCTTGTCTACAGTGAATAATTAGTGAACCAATCACAATTTTATCTTCAAAATTTCTGCTTTTTTTGGTTTTTAATATCTAAAAAACTTTTTTATTCTTTTTTTATTTATTCTAATATATACATAATCATAATAATTCTAATATATACTCATAATAATTCTAATATATACATAATCATACATAAAAAAAAAGCTATTATCTTTGGTTTTATAAAAAGGTGGCATACTGCATTTGGCTCGTAACAACCCAGTGGGCACCCGACGTCAATCCGACGTCGGATTTACGTACGATTTTCATCAGCGATGTCAAAAGATCTATTCCGACGTTGTTCCGATGTCAGTAAAATGACGTCGGGCGATGTCTTTATCTCAACATCCCCTGACGTCGTTTCGATGTATTTTGACGTTGTTCCGACATCTTATAAAAGAGGTCCAAAAAACGTCGCAGTACTGACATCAATCCAACGTCGATAAAAAGACGTCGGGCAACGTCATAATATTAACGTACTCTGATGTTTTTTGACGTCTTCCGACGTCAATCCAACGTCCTTAAAACGACGTCGGAACAACGTCGTAAGACATCGCTGATGAAAATTTAATCCAAACCCAACAATATGTGTGCAATTGCGCTCTTCAATAAATATGTGAACTTAGCGTGTTTTTTATTAATGGAAAGAAGTTTGAATAATGGTTGATAAAACATCATGAGGTTTTGTATGATGCACTAGCATAGTTTTTTAACTACTAACATTTTCGAGTATACATTTTTTATAATATATAACTATTCGTTTTAATATTTTTATAATATTTAAACAAAATTATTTCTTATCAAAGAAATAATTTCCAAATAGCTACAAGTATAAATTACTAAATAAACACATTAAGCAATATGTCCCTGTGGTGAAGTGGTAAGCGCGTAGGATTTAGTTTCTAATAGTCCGAGGTTCGATTCCTGCCCGAAAGGCAACGTTTTTTAGTTTTCAAAAAACACGTTGGATTTACATCGGAATGCTGACGTCGTGCGATGTCAGTTTATCCGACGTCAAATAACATTTCCATTTCCAACGTAAACCCAACGTCGATCCGACGTCGAGTTCCGACGTCGCTCGACGTTCCTTCGACGTCGAAATGCCCACTGGGAAGCAGCTCGTAAAAACTCTAAAAAGGATTTTTAATTAAGAGATTTTTCCAAATATAAGACATTTTTTTTGTAAGAATTTTCAAGTAAATAAGCGGATTGAATCGTAACAATAAAAAATAAACTGCAATCTACACAATTAAGATACTGTTGGTAAACTGTATTAGCAATCGTGGACAATATCTGAACGTGATCTAGGCCTTGTAGTCACTTAAAATGTAATGGTTTGGAAGCAAGTATTCACGACTGCATTAGCTAGTAACTGTATGCTAGGTAAGCTTAAGAGTGCTTTATGAGGCCGTAGTCTTGTACTATGGCACATTGTATATTTCATACGTTCGCTCACAATCGGAATTTGCAGTGCAAGCCATAAAAGAATTTTGGAGTACAGGTCACTATATCTAGCTCAAGATATAGCCAAACTTGAGCAAGTTCAACGTCAAGCCACAATACATTTCTACAATAAAAAAACTTACCCTACACTCAGCAGCTATCAAGATTAAAATCTGACAATGCAAACCGAACGACAAGCAAGAACATATCTTATTGAACAATATAAAATTAAATGCGAAATCAGCATAATTAACTTCGAGGTCCTTTAGCCTCAATCAAACTTAATGTCATTAAAGTACAATTTTCGAGCTAGCTGACACACTTAACAACTCAAAACACAACTCAAAACTGCAAGGAAAGAAATAATTTCTATACCAACCGTGTGGTCAAACCGTGAAATATGGTTAAACCCAAAACGCGGTGAGTTCAACAATTATAAATAACTTCAAACATGAACTATTTTTGTTATAGCGCGTCACTATAATTTGAAAGCCAAAGACAGTATTTTCATGACAGAGCAACCTGGCCGCACTTCATCAATAATTTGTAGGTTTTATTAGTTGTAAATAATTTAAATTAATTGATTTAATTCAAAAATATAGATGTTGAAAAGACCGAACATAATAGAAATAAAGCATACTGTACATGATAGTGCATATGATATTTTTGTATCCTCAGTTTCCTGTATAAAAATTAAGTAAACTTTGGTTTGAAAGTAACTAAAAAGTCATTGGTTTTTATCTACTTTTTGAAAAAAGCCACCTCCAACGATCCTTGATTACTCGATGGAGCCATATATCAATGATACACTGTGTTTCCGAATGATTATAAACCTGTGTCTCAAAAGATTCAGAATTTTATGAAGACTTCAGATGTAATAATGCTTTTTGACAAAAAGTTATTTATTATTTATTCACAAAAATACGACATTTTAAAACGAAACTTCATGTGGTTATTTTTTTTATGCAGCAATATTTTTTTCACTGTGTTGCTAATAAAAAAGGTTATTAATTTGAAAATTTAGAAATATAATTCTGAGCCCAGAATTATACTATTATTAAATTTATAAATGAAATTTTTTTCATTTGAGAAAAGGTTTCATTAACTAACCCAGTGAATAATCAAGGATCATTGAGGGTGACCTTATTTAAAAAGTTGACAAAACCATTAGCAAGTTTCACCTATTTTTTACACACAAAACTAAAGGTAGAGACTACAAAATCGTCATAACCAAACTGTACATAGTAGAAAATACACAGACTGTACGTGTTTAGTAAATATTAATCAGGTTGTACATAGACCAAAATAATTATAGTAATTACAGTAGGCTATTGACGTAAATAAAAAAATTGATTTATTTTTTATTTTTTGTTGATCGAAATTTTTTAAAATAAAATTTAAAAAAATATTATATATACTTTTGTTAATGTCATTTTATAAACATTTCCTATGGACAAAATCTATGATAACAATAATATCTATTTAAATAAATAAACATTTTAAATTGTTCACTAGAAGTTTCTTTTACATGCATTTTTAAGTTGCTATAGTAACAGTAACTTATTCATAATAATTATTTGTTTGAGTTTTTTTATTCTTATATTTTTATTCAATTATTAGTTTAAGAAATATACAGTTACATTTTCTAGTTGCTATAGTAATTTTAAAAGATTTTTATTATATACTTGAAAAACTTGTACTTTTTATTATTGGCTCTAGTTAAAAATATAAAGTTGCTAATAAAGCTGAAGTAATTTTAAACAGAAAGTGTTCAGTTTAAAGCCATATTGTCTCTTTTGTGACTTAGAGTTCTTTTAATCGTAGTGGTTAGAACTCTGTAACATTTTGATAAAATGTTAAAATATAAAACAAAATTGCTTTAAATTTAAACTAAAAGTTACCTCTTCATCTTGTAGTAGAGTGTCTGTACGACTTTCAGATGAACGCTTTGAGCGAGTAGGATGATGAGGATGTTCAAGATGGTAAAATCCCTCTAACGAACCGACCTTAAAATAGAATAATCTTTAAAAACCAAGTAATTAAAACAAAAGATTTAATCTTGATAATATAACTTCAAATGGTTTTTATTTAAAAAATTTTTCTCTTGTAAGAACTTTAATCTGCTCAACCACTCTTTATAAATAGTTTAAAAGTACTGGTAACAAAAATACCTTTGTAACTTTATCGAACCCATATTTATCCGCAATTCTTTTAGCTTTTTCAAAAGTATCGTCTCCTTTTAATTTTATGGCCCAGCCATTAGTATAATATTTTCCGGGATCGATATCGCTACCATCTTCATCATTAGCACAGCAAAATGAAAATAAAATAACTATAGAGCATGAAAATAAAATAAAATTTCTCTTTAATGTAACATGGTATAAATTCATTTCATTCCACTAATGATTCTTGGAGTATAAGGTTAGTTTTTAGTTACCCATTTCTCGTATGTACTATACTTCCCCCGCTATGTGTACAGCTGCTAAGAGGGGGGATATTATTTCATTGGTCTTTGTTGATACTTAAAAGTGTTTTGTTTTTGTATGTAATAATGGTTCCAATATTTGCGCATCCGTGGGTGTTGCGCATAAACTTCTTTTTCACGGAGTTGTACAGCATGTGGGGAAGAAAAAACTCTTTTTGGTCAAAATGCACACACGCGTAACAAAACGAGCGCATACAAATTTGTTTTATTAGTTAACTTTGTAAAATGATTGGTTGGAACTTTTGAAATTAAATGATCTAAGTTTATGATTGGTTTAATTAAACAAAAGGTTTCTTTGAGGTCATTCGGCATAGAGGTTAGACGTTTGAATTACCCAGCGGAGATAAACTGAGAAGACAACTGTTTAAACATAAGCAAAATTAAAACTCTTCTGAAAAATAACGTTTATAAACGTTTACAAAAAGCAATTGTTTTAACATAATAACAGTGTTCCGTAGCGATTTTGTTGAAGTTTTATTCAAATGCGCTCATCTGAGTCACTAAATTTAATTAATATTTTAGAATCTAACCTCAGCAGCTAATTTTTCTTTTGGGTGGATAGGAAAGTGTTAAATGTTAATTGGATTAAAGTTTTATACCGGAAACTTAAGTTTTTACCGGAAAAACTAGAAAGTGATGGATTAGTTTTATGTTGCAATGAAATAGTAGCAATTTAAAAACAAAAGAAAAGTAAATAAAATCAATTTAAATTTTACATACAGATCCCTCACATACACTAGGTGGGTACGCACTTGCCCTCAAGCATACACTCGGTGTATCCAAAATTTGTTGAATCCGCAGCAAGAAATGTTCAAAACATTTTTTTTATATATAATATTCAAAGTGGCCGTGAGTTCAAAATTTAAATTTGATTGTACACATTACATTTCAAAAATAGACAGAATATAATGTTCGATCAACAAAACATAAAAAAACTGCATTGGGCTAAAAAGTAATGATAAAAGTTGAAGGCCAGTGAGTATTTACGACAGCAATTACGTTACCAAGATTGTTGGTGTTGTCGAAGATTGTAAATGAACTGACTTTTTCATTTTCTAAATTCTTAGCCAACTATTGCATTTTAAACTTGCATCGAACTCAAACATGAAAAACTAATTTATCGCTTCGATTTTGATTAACTCAATTTTCAAGCTTCTGATTGAGCGTATTTTTGATTAGCGATAAAACTTTGTCTGTATTATTATTATTATTTTTTTTGAAATTCTATAACTATCGTAATTGTTATATTAAACTTATATGAACAATTTTTATATGTTAAATTTAATCTGCTAATAAATTAATAAAACTAATATCTGAGTGTCAACAATAATTTATGAAAATAAAAAAAGTTTTTAAAATTTAAAAGAAATAAATCAAACAAGATAGTCAGCAATATTTTCTTAATTTTGTAATCTCTTGCTACCTTTAGAAAACTCTTGTTATCTTGGAAACTCATTACTTGTTTCCTACTCTAACTAGAAAACAAAAATTTGTCTAAAGCGCTTGTCCGACACCTGTACTTTGATTTTAGTTTAACATGTTATTTAGATTTAATGTTCTCATAACAAAGTTGACGACATCTGATGACATCATCATGAGGTTTGCATGAGTTTCTCATACAACTTTTTGTAGGAAAAATTAACAAGGCATTTAATGTTAAATTTTTAAAGGTTTTTTTGAAAGGAAATGAAGTTGGAAATCAATGTAAACAATTGTATTTGTAGCTGATAATAGATTTTTAATCACAGATTTCTAAAAATTGAAACAACTTTAAACAATTCTGTTTAACGTAGCTGTTTCACTGCAATATAAAAGAAGCTATATACATGCATTGCAGATATTTTGCAATATTTTAGATTGACTCTTTGCATAAAGTATTATAAATTTAAAGTTATTTTTTTAAAACATTTATATTTTATAGGTTATAAAAGTTATGTAAAAACTATTATTAAGAAAACTTTATCAAGACTAGTAAACTTATAGAAAACTACTAAGTATTAGCTTTGCCAGTCGTAACATGTTACGCTTTTATGCCGTGAACAAGATTTTAATTCAGAATTAAAAGTTCAGTGTTGCAGATCCGTAGCCAACAAGCGCTAACCACTGAGAATTGGTTGTACTAAAAAAAAAAAAATTAATAATTTACCGTATGTGACCAAGGATAAATTCTTTTAAAGTTAAATTGTTTGGAATAAAGAAAATAACAATTCAAAATTTATTCATGCGTTGACTAAGTTTTTCAATCCCATAGTCGAATAAACTTGTTTTAATTTAAAAATGTTTTTTTAAATAAAAACAAGTAAAAATTATCAGTATTTTTAGAATTATTTTTAAGAAAATTTTAAAAAAAACTTAGCGGTTTTATAACAGAGAAGTGTTAGGGGTTTGGATTTAATGAGATAGTATTCCTTGGTTGATGACACTTTTGTGTTTGACGACTTTACCGATGACGTTTTCGTGCCGAAGCATAATTTGAACTTTTGAAACTTAACAACTTTGCGCAACATTGTTTTACATATTTAAATATCCGTTTTTGTTTATTTACAATAGAAACGATTTTCTATAATCAGTTCGATTATAGAGTTTTGATCAATCAACATTTTTAAAAAACATCAAAAAAACAATTCCGGTATAGTCATTCCAGGTCAAAGTGCTGAAATCCGGCAAGTCAGAATAATCAAACAAGTATTTAAAGTGGTTAAAAGTTAAATTTTTGGCCGGAAATGAACTTTATTGACGTTAAAAATACATAACCTATATGCAGTGATGTTTTTGTAAAAATTTTGAGGCAATTTTTTTTCTATTTAAAGTTAAAATTAATTTTACATCCAGAGCCTCTATATTTACAGAAAGTGAACCAACGGAAAACGGAGCCATGTTATCGGCGGCCATATTTTTTTTGCCGAATTAATGTATAGTATAACCAAAGACTACTAAAAAAAGGTTGAAGTCGCTTTTTCGTTGTTGTTCAAATTTTGGCTTCAAGTCTTTAGAGCCAAAACTTTTTGCGCACATTTCAATTTTATATCTTTTTGTGCAGTTGGATGGATCATAATTAAAATTATTCAAAAATATAAGCTAAATGCAAAAACAAACTTGTTGTTGAATATTTGTTTTACAACAAGTTGATGTCACTGCATAAATTTTATTTTGGCTTCATTGTAAGATTCTCGTTATATAGTTAAGGTCGCGTCTATAATTTTAATGGTGTAAGAGTATAATTGTCTAAAAGCTTGTTTGTGCCAGACCTTCTTTATTTTATAAGAACTATAAAACGATGGAATACAATAATAGGAAAGATGGACAACGTTTTGGCAGGAACCTTTTACTTTGGAAACTGTTACTTAACAAAGCAGATGTTTAAAATACCGCCTAAAACTTCTCAAACTCTAAAACGTAATTAATGTTATAATTTCATTAACAGGTGGCAACCATGATGTCACTTGAGTAACTATTAAAATTTTTTTCCTTTTTAGCCAGTTTTTTTCTACAGTTCTCTCCTAACCAGACAAACATATTAGTTAGCAATATTATCATATGTAAAAACGTAAGAGCGAAAGTAACGTAACTTAACTGAAATTAATTACTGTTTGATTTAAAAAAGTACTGGTTTTTATTAGCATTTAATACCTGTTGAAAGGAAGTAATAATAAAAATGAATTTAAAAGGGAACTTTAATAGCTACAATACTTTTTCAAAGCAATAAAACTATAAAGACAGTAACCTTTAAATATATTTGAAGTGGTACAATTAATAATAATGGTATAATTAATAAATAAAGTAGTAAAGTTAATAATAAAGTTAATAATAAAATACAATTATTACTTCACTTAAATTATTATTAAAAATTTACTTTATTGCAACGTTAGAATAGCAAAGATAAAAATCAGTTCATTGTGGGAATCATTGTGGGATTAAAAATATAGAACTTGGAAAAATTCGCTTTAACATCTTTTCGCTCTAACAGCCTTCTACCTTTCAGTACACGTATTACACTTACAAGTTTTACTATTTCTCTATGAAGTTAACTAGTATTAATTTTAGTACACGTTTTACATTGACAATATAAGTTTTACTTTTTTCTATGCTTTTGAATTTGTTTAAGAGAATTACAACTCTTCTGGGAAAAAAGTGAAATTTTCAATTTGTCTATATAATTAATCTGTTTTTAAAAAAAATAAATATTGTTTCAATAACAAAAAACAAAAAAAGCACAAGGCGAGATATTTTGTGATTTTTGTTAATAACAAACTTTCATTATTTATTCTATTTTTAGAACCCAGAAAATCGAAATAAGTTTTTGCTAGTTCTTTCAACTTATTTAGTTCTAAAAATACCCTAGGTAATATACACTGCAATATTAAGCCAAAATTTTCCCTTAGAATTACATAAAATTATCCCGGTTGCTTTATCCTAATCTTTTTCTAAAACAATTGGATACGCACCTATGTTGTAGCTTGTGGACATTATTTTAACCATGTGAAGAAATCATCTGTATCATGACTTCCCTTTGATAAGGACTGAACAACACAAAAAAATCGTCTCCATCAAAATGCTCAGATGTAAGTTTAAAAACAAACTTCAAATCCATACCTTTATGACAGTTTACACGCTTTTTTAGGTGTTTTGAAACTATAATTGGTCTATAATGGAGAAAATATGTTTTCCGTGAATCTTAGTTGTAACTATAAATTGTTTTTATGATAAAAATGGTCCTTTAAGTATAAAAACTAAAAAATGATCAGTTTTCTTGTGATATTTAAATGAGGTCGATGTATAATAGTTAACACTTTCATTTATTGACATTTTATAAAATATTTAAACACATTCTTTTTTATGAACCTTTATGAAGTTAACATTAGTTTTAGTGTACCCAAAGAATTCTAATATGTTCCCAGAAGTTCAAAAGATTTTAAATATTTTTAAATAGTGCAACTTTGAAATCTGTGAGTTGCACTTTGAAGCCTTTGAGTTGCACTTGAGATTTTTTTTGGATTAACCTGATGGTTAATCCAAAAAATTGAGAAAATCAATTCTGATGAATCAATGCGAGTAAGTAGTTACTTTAAAACATTGGCGTTCTTAAAATTACGTAACACTAGAGTCTTCAGATAATAGTTGTTGAA